TGCCTGGGGGCTGCTTTTGTGTCTGCTATCTGATAGTGAGAAAGTGAGGGCGCTGGGCTTGGGACACTGCTCCGCTGCTTGGCTAGGGATTGGTGTGTGTGGTCGCATGCTGAGTGCTTATTGCCGGTGGCGACGTGAGTTCCGGCATCTTTTTTTTTTTACAAAAAAAGCACTGGCAGCAAGACTTTGCTACATGCCTACCATTAAGAAAGTAGCTAGAAAAACCGGATTTAAATGTCTGAAACTGATAAAATCTCAGCTTTACCTCGGCACAGTGGAAAATATGAAATGAACAAAAGACCTTTTCCAGTTTATTCCACATCATAAGGCCAAGGTTAGAAGCTGCTAACTCTTGTAAGAATGTTCCAATGACACTTCAGTGAAACCCTCATTGTTTCACTGTTCTGGAAGGATATATTACATGTTCACTGCTTCCATTGTAGTATACTAGTACTTTAAATTTGTCAAAGTATTATTGCTGAAAGTATAATACTTCTTTTGAAAAAGCAGCATGTATAGATGCTGTTCTGTTGTTAGCTTGCTCATTGCTCAGGGTTCATTCATCAATGTTCTCTGCAGCAGTAGTATTTTTTTTAATCTAAACTATAATCTACTCCTAAACCAGTGCTTTTTATAGACCAATTCCTGCAAAACCACTTTGACAATCATCCTTTCTATGGACTTACTGAATGCTCGCTCACAAATTCAACCTGAGACAGAAATATGTTGGCTGCTGGAATAACATTTATGGAATTAATTGGATGAAAACTCCTGCGTGCCAGAAAAAAAATGAATAATTTTAAATAGATTTTTAAAAAATCTGATTTGCAAGCTGCTACATGGATGTGAACTCATCTATCTGAAACACCACATGGAAGTTGTGGTAGATGCCAGAGGAGAAGATAAGTATTCCTTGCAAGTCAGACTATGGACATGGCAGCACAAGGGTGTAGCTGTGAAGGAACTTAACTTTCCTGTTCCTCGGAATGGGAATGGATGCAAGTCTGCCAGGCTGGTTGCTGGCTGCAAAACAAGCTCGTTTAGAGCTAAGTAAAATAAGCTTGCCTTGAGCTGCTGAATGTTGAAGTACGCTATTTCTAATGTGGGAGATTAAATAGTTTATCAGAAGCCAAGCTGCTAAAAGCCTAATTGCAAGGTTGTCTGAAACATCTTTTTTAACATGTATGAAGTACACAGTGCTAGAAAGAATAGAAAGTACTTTAAATATTCATTGCTTGTACTAGATGATGGATATGAGTCTCTCAAGGACCTCTGTGAAAAGATGGCTGGAAGCAATGCTAAAATGCTCGTGGGAGCTCGCTCCGGCATGCCGTGTGATCTCCAGCTGATGAGTACAAAGACCCTTGGGAGCTGAGTGCCTTTGAGCCCCTCAGCAGGAGTGAGTGGTGTATGCTGGGGAGAGTTTGGCTCAGTATGCCAACTCCAAGGAGGAATGAGGGGCTGGAGGGTTTCTGGAGGGGAGAAACAGGGAAGAAAGGAAGGGTTACGCCAGAGGAATGGTCACTGCGCTTGAGCTACAGTTGGAGAAGGAGCCACCTGTGCAAAGATCACGGGCCCACAAGGCATTCTTCATTCAGTTAGGGTAGGCCAACTTTGAGTCCTCATCTTGGTTTTTCTCTCATTTAAACATTTGCTTGTTTGTTTATTTTTATACTTGTCTGCTGCTAACTCTTCCAACAGGAATCTCTAAGTGGCTTACAACAATAATCAAAATGACAACCATTGAAAGAATGAAACAGTAAAATCGGCATATAAAGCAACAGTAGCAATATAACAATGGCCTTTCAAGAATGTAGCAAGTGAGGGGAGCAGCCATCTACATCAATATCAAAATACTGAATTCAAAATCAGTTATAATACCAGGAAAAATGTTTTCATCTGGTGCTGTAAAGAAAACAATGTTGGATACATTAATGTTGTGCATGATTCATTACATAAATGTATTACAAACACTTTGATTTACAATATGAAATTATAATTCATTGCATGGCCCTTGGGTTCTCTGTCAAAGTGCTCATGCAGCCCTCAAGGTCTGAAAAATTGGACTGCCCTGATTGAGATGAAAGCTGTTACTCACTGATTAAGTAACACAATGAACACATGATGTAGTCATGGAGATGAATTGAAGGCATCCATTTATGTCAGTAGGTAATTAAAAATGAGCTACCAGTAGCTGAATTTATTTGCTTATCACTTGTCATTGGTCATCTGTTAACTATTTTACCACCAGTGTTTGTGGTTATAAAAGAACTTGCATGCTACAGATTTATGTTAGATTATTGCTTCCAATTTTTTGACATTTAGAAATCAGTGCAAGCCACGGTTTCTTCTTTTCTGCCTCCTTCAGACTTATTCCTTATATCATATGTTTTACATGGGATATGCAACTGATAGCAAATGGTTTAAATTGTAAGCTGTAAAGAGAGATGGGAATCTAATAAAGTGTTGAGAGCAGCAAATCCCTTTTCAAATAGCAAGAGACTTGGGCTGCATATTTTTCATCCTGCCATTCAGAAACCAATTCAATCAAGAAAAACTTGCAGTTTTTTGTAATGGAAACGCTTTGATATTCTTCATTTAGCTGCTTATGTGCTCTTGTTCCTCTTCAGCTTCATAAAATAATTCCCTGAAGCAAATAATTCCCTTAAGCAAATACATGATAGTCTGATATTTATCTAATGGAGTGATTCCCAAAATGGGTGGTAGCACCTCCCTGGAAGTGGTGGATGATTCAGGATGGCAGTGATTGGTTGTTTTAAATTCCCAGTGGAAAGAGGCATGGGGGTTCCCAGGTTGTTGCCCAAGAGGAAAGGGGGCAGCAGCCTGATACTGATCTATTGGATGGCTGTATTTAGCAAGGCTAATGGAACTGATTTCAACTGCACGCATACCACAGTTTTACTGCTGTTGTGTATCACAGTGTGTCTCAACATTCCATAGCAAACATCTTTTGAAATAATCTTTGCTTCTTAATTAGTGAGATAATTAGTGCTTTCTGTATCATTGTACATATATACTTCATTTTACCTCTGCATTGAAAATAATATAAATCTTCTGTTTCAATTGTCCTCGTAATCATGTAATATGTATACAAATTCTCAGAATGATAGTAGTTAGGTTAGAAAAGAGGACTCATTTCAGATGTCCTGCTATAATCTATTTTGCAAACACTCCTCCACCCCCACCCGCACCCACATATTTGAAAAAGGCTGTGGTTTTGCGAGTGAGGTGCACAGTGCTGATCTGAAAGTCTGTACTGCCTTTCACCATGATATTCCAATCCAAGATTTTCTACTGAGTGTTTCATCTTTCCTGGCCCTCTTAAAAATATGTGTGGTGATCAAGCTGTTATTCACAGTTCAAGTGAACAATGCTGCTTTGAACATGCGTAACTCCTCTAATTTTGCCATCTCAAGGAAGATGCTACACTTTATTATCTTGTATGGTTGAGCTGGAGTTCATCTTGAAGTGCAGAATTCACCAACTTCCATATTTATGTTTCAGTGTTCAAGGGAGTTATTATAATCTGTGGCATTTTCATTCCTCATTTGAAAATGAGTGTTGAGAATGTTGATGTCTGTTTATACTGCATTCCCATGTTGTGCTAATTTACAGTGTTACATGTAAGCTTTTGAATTGTGGTGCTGGGGAGACTCCTGCGAGTCCCTTGGACCGCAAGGCAATCAAACCGGTCAGTCCTAGAGGAAATCAACCCTGACTGCTCTTTAGAAGGCCAGATCCTGAAGATGAAACTCATATACCTTGGCCACCTAATGAGAAGGAAGGACTTCCTGGAGAAGAGCCTAATGCTGGGAAGAATTGAGGGCAAAAGAAGAAGGGGAGGGCAGAGGATGAGGTGGCTGGATGGAATCACTGAAGCAGTTGGTATGAGCTTAAGTGGACTCTGGGAGATGGTGGAGGACAGGAAGGCCTGGAGGAATGTGGTCCATGGGATCGCGATGGGTCGGATGCGACGTCACAACTAACAACAACAACATGTAAACTAAGGAATCTTAATGCAGAATTGAAAGTCATTAGGAAAACCTGTTTATGTTCAGCCACAGGGAATGACGCCGGAAGTGGGATTCGTAAAACCCTTGTCATATTTGATAGAAGAATGGGATTGTTCCCACGAACCAAGCCTCTTAAGAGTAGCCATATTAGATCAGGCCAAAGCCCAATTTATCCTAGCATTCTGTTCCCATAGTGGTCAAGCAGATAGGTGCCAATGGGAAGCCTGAAGAAGATTGCCATCCCGTTCCTTCTCTGGAAAAATGGGTATAATGAGGCCTCATCCCTGTGCCAATCTAATTGCTTTGGCAGGCAGGTACCAAAGCTGTCCCTCTGCTGATCTCACAGAGCTGGCAGCTTGGTATTTGTAAAGGCAGTCCTTGGCTAACCTGAGCTGAACCTGTTTAGAGTTTTAAAGGCCACTAGTAGCACCACCAGCTGCTTGGGCTTCCTGGCTGCCCCCCCACCCCGATACCACCTGACCTTCTCCAGCTGGTGCTACCAAGGAATATTACTCCCTAGAATGTTTGAGAAATTGTGTAAAGCAGGTGGTTGTTTATGTAGAGAGATGATAGAACAGTTGCAGCACACATGTTGAGGATGCTGAAGGACCCAGGTTTGGTCACTGGCATTCCAGTTAAAAGGATCTTGGATAAAAGGTCTGAGAAAGATCACTGCCTGAAACCTTTGGGGAGATGAGTTCATTTGGAATGGATAGCAAAGGCCTAGATAGACCCGTCTCTCAGAAATGGGTAGAATAACACTCGGAACAAACCATTTTCATTGTATGTTAGAGAACTTCAGAGTTAAACATTTGAGTTTAAACACTTGAGTAATTTGTTCAGGAGAGCTGACAGTGCCGCAAAGGTGTCTCACCTGCAATTCTGCTGCAGCTGCTGTTTTTTACTGCTGGTCACAATAGCATGAAGCAATGGCAATTACATAACACTTCATTCTTCTCTCTTTAGGGCAAGAGTTGGATTGTGAAGCGGAGTTATGAGGATTTTAGAGTGCTTGATAAACATCTTCACCTATGTATTTATGACCGGCGCTTTTCCCAGCTCTCAGAGCTACCCCGTTCTGATGCCTTGAAGGACAGTCCAGAGGTAAATTTCTGATTTGGGTTGTCTTACTCAACTGTCCAAAAAATGAAGAGTTGATGCCAGATGGGCCGCAGTGAAAATAAGTCAAAATAAGAAGTTTGTCATATTTTTTTTAAACTAGCTACATGTGAGCAAGGAGAAGCTCATTGCTTTCTTGAGGATTTACCTTAGTACATGAGTGTTTGATGGATTTCTGAAACATAAGGAGAATTGGTAAATTATTGTGCATTATTGCACAATAGTGGGGCGGGAATATGTTTTCTACCTGAGGTAGAAAACAAGATGTCCTCTTTCCATACAAACACTCATTCTGTGTACAGAAGCTAAGCAGGCTAGCAAGGGAACCTTACTCATTGGTGATGGGTTGGTGTCCACCACCATACCTAAGGCTAGTGGGTAGAGTAGACCAAAACTTTTGAGAGGAGCTCTGTCCTCCAGCACCTTATCAGCACTTCCTCCTTCACTCCATCTGTTTCCTGAGGTGGCCACCTCAAGCTATCTTACGGTAGAATTAGCTTTGCAAAACCAAAAGAATCCATTCAGAAAAGAGGCAATTAATTAAAATCCACAGTCTTGCTAAATGAATTCATGTTTATATGATACATATTCATTAGAATTCAGCACATTTTCAGTGTTTTGATATTTCTCTGTTTTGTTTTTTCTCCTATAAGATGGCTAGCGAAAGGGCTGCAGTGTGTAAATGGGAAGCATAAGTGTTATTTAAGTAGCTGTGCATATGTTTGAAGCCCTGGAAGTTAATCAGAAACAAAACTAGAACTGTAATTGAGAGGCTTACAAGGACCAAAACTAAATGTTACAAGCAGTACTGCATGTTCAGCAGTTCTGAATCATCTTATTCTGTTGAAAATTACTAGTATCATTTGTTTGTTTATTTAAACAAGGAGAACTGACAAAAGGCCTGCAAACTTTGAGCAGCAGCAAAGATTGGTTAGACTAGTCTATTTGAGCAGCAAGAATACTAAAACAGCAATAAAAATTGCTGCAAAGGGAGATAACACAGCAGGAGAACTTAGAAGGGAATGAAAGGCAATGGAAAATGGAAGAGACTGGAGATGATAAAAGAGAATTTATACCTCTTGATGTGGGACAGTCCTGTAAATGAGAACAGGCATGGAAAAGAGATAGGTGAGGTAGAGATGAAATTGAAACCTCCTTCTCCCTGGCCCTTAAAATTAGTGTTCATGTGCATTATGCCTTTCCTCCAAATAGTTTCCTTTCACAATTAGAAATACTAATTTGTGTGTAACTCATATTGATGAACCCCAAACCCTCTATCCCTTAAAAAAAAGCAGTGCCCCCTCACCTTTTTAAAACCTGTACAACCATTTAACCATCTGTACAACCGCACTCAATTTTTCTAGGCAATCCAGAAACTTTAGTTGAATTAAGAATGATTTGAGTGGATGTTCAGCCTTGGAATTGGCAGTACCAGCACTAAATCCAGCTACATCATTCAAAAATCCACTCCTGCTTTTCTATAAATTAATTTACAGAGCAAACATTTATTTCTTCTTGTTGTTTTGTTGAAGACCTGCATCTGGAATGCAGTGTGAGCTGGCTAACTGGGGAAATCATTGGAATATATTTTATGGGTGAAAGGTGGAGACCTGGGCTGCAAAGGCTGTCTAAGCAACTGCTGCTGATGTCCAGGGGCAGGACATGGCTGAGGACTGACAGCAAAAAGGTGTTCCACAGAGGAAACAACATTGCACATGGACTGGGGGGAGGGGGCTGAGCACAAAGCACATGTGCACAAGAGTGAATAGAATTGGAGAGCACAAATGTCTACCAACATTCCAGCCCAAGCTAATATGTGAGAGTTCCTCTAATGTCTCCACTGGACAATTGGCCTATGGCATTCTTACTCAATAAGATCAAATGCTTTTTGCTCTCAGCTTTGTTGCATGATTTTGTTTGAAACTGCTTTCCAGACGCATGCCAAAAAGAAGACTTTAGGTTCAGGGTATCTAGCATGAGATATGTCAAAAATGTTTTAATTTGGAAAAGAAATCTTCTCATCTATGAATATTTTCATTGTTTATAGTACTGCATGTTTCACTGATATCTCTGGATGTCAGATTCATAGATTTTCTGGTGTAGTAGAACAGGAAAATATTTTTTGTGCTTTCTGCAACTAATAGTTGCTTTCAGCTACCTCATCGTGAAGTTTGGAACTTGAAAACTCTACATCATCCAAGTTAACTCTATTCCTATCTCTCTCTACCTCTCTCTCTCTCTCTCTGCTTCCTGCAGCTTGTCACTCAGATGCTGATGGCTTACCTGTCACGACTCTCAGCCATTGCTGGCAACAAGATAAACTGTGGTCCTGCCCTCACATGGATGGAGGTACTATAATGTGTATAGCATTGTGTTAGGTAATATTCCTAATTTCTGATAGCTTGCTAAGTGTTTCATATTTACCTTTGTGTAATTAGTGAGTGGAGCATATGTTTAAACAGCAGTGTTACCAACTTAGAAATCACTGCAGATACCAAAATATTCTTAGGTCTGCTTCTCGCACATTGCAGCAAGATGGTCTTTTATTTCCTCAGAATTCATTCTCTACAAGGCACTGCAGTCCGATGCATCAGTGGAGCAGTATGGATCATCTTACATTTTTAGGTGTGTCCCTAAATGTGTAACCTGGCCCTGAATTAGAGTGGTTTCCTGAACCTATCCTTGAACACTAGCAATTAAAATAGGCATTTTTAAAGTGGATAGAAATAAGATTTAAAGAGAGAACAATCAGGATAATTAATAAAAAGCACTCTTCCTTTTATCTGGCTTGGTGACGGCATACAAAACTTTTCCACCAAGATTATCGAATTCCAATGACAGAGATAAGTGATTGTAAGAAGGTTAGAATGAGGTGAAGTAATTGCCATAATATAAATTTATGTGAATGACCTTTTCGTACCGTAAATTTCCTTAGCTTGTTATTGATGTCTCCTTGTTACAATGAATGTTTATTTATAGACAGCTAAACATAGAGATATTTATTAAAACATGCTTAAATACCCTTTCTTATAGAAAATGGGTTCATTTGCTCTCTTCAGTTCATCATCTCCAGTGCCTATGTTATATTTTTGTGCTCTTTCTACTGGGAGTTCGTCAAGCTTTGCTGACTCTATGTCATATAAACTATTAACATAACCCACTCACAGAGCTGTATCTCTTCAGCTGCCTTACTGTCTTCTGTATCCTTTGTTACAGATCGATAATAAGGGGAATCATCTCCTAGTACATGAGGAATCATCCATCAATGTTCCTGCTATTGCAGCTGCACACGTTATCAAGCGATATATTGCTCAGGCAGCAGATGAGCTGTCCTTTGAGGTAAATAATTAAAGCAATACATAGATGCACACACACGTTTTCAATTGAAGAAAAAGCTCTACTTTTTATACTCTCTGTGTGCTTATCAAATATGGATTTTGTAGAGTTTTAAATATCTGAGTGAGTTGTTGTGCTTTTTGAACTTAGACTGATCCCTGCAAAGTAGCTTTGTGGAAGGCAACAAGCCACCCTAGTAACCCGTGGCTTGCTGTATGAATGGTGGGGTTGTTCTGTTGCTTGGAATTGACTGGTTGACACCATTGTGGGTACCATTTGCTTGGCAAAACTCCTTGCTGTGCTTGGCAGGAATTACAGGCACCTGCCCATATTGGCCATATCAAAAGTTCCCAAGATGCACTTGTGGGCAGCTGGCTCTGGCTTCCTTTACTCCCTGCTGCACCCATGAAGCCATTCTCCCTTCCCCACCCTTTGAATTGTGAAAGCCAGCAGTGAAGCCATCTTTCCAAATCTCCACATGTAACCCAAGGCACAGGTGATCTTAGCTCACAAAAAAAAAAAAAAAGCTAAGATGGATCATTCACCCTCTTTGTGGGAAGATCCTCAAGGTTTTTTGGAAGGGACTAGTATCTTATGGATGCCCTAATTTTTGTACTTCTTTCTGTGATTATACCATCTTGAGAACAAGCAAAAAAGTACATGCATTTTTCCTTTTAAAATTGTCTACGTTAACTACTTCAGTAAATGTTCCATTTTTCAAGTGGGATTTAGAACAGGTTAAAATGGCCAAGAAGGATACAGGTATATAGATTACATATCTGTATATTTCTCTGCCAAAAAAATATTTTTAACCTTTTCTAAATTCCACTTAAGAAATGAAGTTTTACCTTGGACACCTGTTAAACCAGCTGATACCTGAGAGTCATAGAGATCAATGAGACATACAATGCTGTAAAGAAGGAGAAAGTGAATGAGAGGATTTTTTTAATCTTCCAAACTTTGAGTCATCTTTTGTTATACACCATAAAATCTAATATCTCTATTTGACATGAATTTCACCTACAAAATATTATATCTGCAGTCCTAATCATCTGGATCACAGATATAATATATCTGGAAAGCAGCTTTAAGCTAAAACCCTCCCCAGCATACCTGGAGCAAAAACGTATTAGATCATGGACATAAGCATAGCTGGGGCCAAATGTCTACAGAGAGATTGCATTACAACAGTTAAATGACCCTGCCAGAATTATTTGGGCTGGATTTTGGAGAGGCCGATAACTGGCGTTCACAATCTGAAGCGAGACAGGCAGAGTGGGGGAACTTTAAAGGGAAGAAGCAGCCACAATGAGCCTGAAACAGCTCACAATTGTGATGGTGGCAGAGACAATTCTGACCTCACACGATGTCCCTTGGGATTGCTCCACAAGGATTGAGGGGGAGGAAGGGGCCCAACAACCCATAGTACGTAGAATGGTTTATAAGGCACACCATGGGTTCTTTGCAAGGCAGCCAACCAACCAGCCATGCCTTGTAGCTACTACAGAGTAGTATGCTGTGTGAGCATACAAATTAAATCAACCTGTACCCAGCGGGAACAGATTTGTTAAGGAATCCCTTATCATGAACTGTAACTAGGAAGAAGTTACCTCTCTCTGTGCGCTGAACTACTCTGGTCATTAAAGAAAACGGATATGTGAGCACAGATTAACAAATTATTTTCGTTGCATTTGGGCATAAAAATAAATGACCCACTTTGATCTATTCCAAAAAGCTTATTGTGTGTTTGAGCTTCTTTCAAATTCCAGATTCATACTGGCAGCTGTTCAGTAATGAGAACTAGAATTAAAATATTCTGATTGGTTTTGAAAACTGTACTTTTCATGCAATACCCATTAAGTGTCTTATGTGGGTTTTCTGTGCTTACTGACTGTACTGCTGCAGACATGCTTGGGAGCAGTATTTCCAGTATATCAGTATGTTCAGTGTGTTATTCATTTCATATATATTTTTGAGAGATTTGACCAATGTCCAGGTTTTTTTGTAGGCAACAAAGGCTGGCTTAAATATAATGTGCTGTAAAGCAAATGGTGTGTTCCACAGATACCTATTAAAACTCTAAAATGTTTGGTTTTCATAAAACACACACCCACGTCCCTCCAGGTAGCAGAGATAAGCCTAAAAATAGATTATCTGAAAGACTGAAAGGGCAAAGAGTAAGTGATGCTCATGCATTGATTGAGCCTCAGCAGCATCATTTGCAAGTACTCAGCGACTCATTCAAGCTATGTTAAATGTTTTATGTTGGCCAAGTGGTCTCAAAGGAATTTTTAAATGGCCCTGCTCATCTTTCCATCCTGCTGAGAAAATTTTACATTCCCTTATTGCATTGTTAGTTTTAACTTCAAGGAGCATGTCTTTATGAGGTCACTCTGAACTCACTGACAAAAGAACAAGCCGGGACAAAGACATGAACATATCAATGTGTATGAATTCAAAAGAGAGTAAGGCTTGTTTTTTTTCTTCTTCTGGGAAATATTTATCTCAATCCACACTTCTGATTTAATGTGAATAGCTTTTGGCCTCTATTATCTAATGTGCATATTCCTTATGAATATATCAAAATGTGCACTATGTGGCATTATGCATTAGCTCATACTTTAATAATCTAAGTACAGATGCCGTATAGGTTGAGGCTACTGCTGTTCGTTCATAAGTGTATTTGTTTTTGTCTTTTTCGCTACAGTAGAACATAATGCTTTTATCAAGACAGCTGTTCTTCATCTGTCTTGATCCTCATCTTTTATGTTGTTCCTTTTCAGGTGGGAGATATTGTGTCAGTCATTGACATGCCTCCAAAGGAATTGACCACGTGGTGGAGGGGAAAGCATGGATTTCAGGTAAGCTCAACTGTTTGTTCAGTTAATATTGTGGAACCTCAAAAATTTCTCATTGCATACATTCTGTGGAGGTAGTAGTTATGCTGAACGATCATTTTCGAATACTTTGGACTGTGATGCCCACTTTTATATCTGATTTGGCACTAAGGAAAGTCCCATGCATGATACTTTTAAAAAGGACCTTTTAAAAATCAGCCCGCTTCTGCAGAGGCTGGAGAATTTGCATTCTTGGATGTGAATTCTAGGTATCCTTTGGATTGGGAGAAACATCTGGAAGATAGGAATACTGTAGGGTCAGACTTTGGAATCCAGGATACCAGATTCCCTATAGGAAATGGCCAAGTTAATGTTAGCAATTATGTAGGAATAATTTATAAGCACATGCATTTTCTGAAGGCACTTGCTTGGAAGACGTCGAATCCAATATTCTCGTACTCATTGCAATTGTATGGGATTCTTCTTGGTACAGTGATCTCAGAATTGGGGAAATGGATTCCTTGTTACTTTGGAGATGTGGAAATGAGGATAGGAAAGCCGCTGTTCCTCCTGCTGTTCTTCCATTGCATTTACAGCCCACACTTCTTCCTCTTCCGAGGAAACCAAGGTGGCTTGCAAGGCTCCCCTCTTCTCCATTTTATCCGCGCAACAACAACCATGTGAACTGAGTAAGCTGGGAGATTGTGAGTGGCCAAAAGTCACCCAATGAGCTTCATGACTGAATGGGGTCTGGCACCCAGATCTCCTGAGCCCCAGGTCAACACTTTACCACTGTACCAAACTGGCTTCCAAAGTTATTTGAACTTTTTAGGAGTTTTGTTTTATTTGTGAGTTTGCCATCTTCTTCTTCTTCTTCCCTGCCTGTACTTAAACAGGTGAACCAATACCTTAAAGGAGAGAAAATTCAGTACCTGTAAAGGAACCTACGAATGAAATCCAGAAATGAGCCCAAATGAATTACTGGGGTAGTGTTGGGTAAGGTACAAGATAATACATGGTGGCTTTATTCAACACAGAAAGCAGCTGGTGTTAAAATATGTGCCAGGCGACTTACGTGTGGCGGCTGTGCCTCTCTATAAACATGCCTGGATATGGCGGCTTAGACTAGTAGGAGTTGTAGGACAAACATCTGGAAGGCCAGAAGGCCAGCTCTGGTCTATGGTCACCAGTCAGGAGTTTTGACTTTGAACAGGTCATTATTAATCTTTCTATTATTAGCAATATGTATAGACTGCTTCTTGTTTTGAAGAAATCCCCAAGCCGTTTACAAAAGAATAAAACTGCGTGCATGCATACTCACACACTCACACTCTCTCACACACACACCCCTCATCAGGTTGATATAAAGCAGCCCAGAAGGGGTGACATTCGGGAGGAAAAGCTCCTTGAGGGATCTGGTTCAAGTGCTCATACATGGTTGTGTATCCTACTCCAGACAGCTTCAAGTATAGACGTGCTTCCTAGAGAATCAACATCCGAACCAAACAATCATTGTGTTTCATCTTTTCATGTTTGTTCTTTCTCTTTCATTAAAAAAGGAAACATTTTTAACATTGTGTTACTGCATGAGTACAGAGGGTTTTAAGGGGAAAGTGTGATCTGTGGAGGGACAGAGATTAAGGCCTCAAAATGCAAAACAGCAGAAATGATTGGTGATGACATATAGCCCCCAGGACCATCAGGAAGGGAAATTAGAGCGTTATGAAAAAGGAAAGAGCTTAAAATAGAATGTACTTAGACATCAGTAGTCCTGAATGTGATAGAAAGCAACATTAAGAAATTAAGGGTGGAAATTAGATACAATACATGACATTTCGAGGATGCTCAACCTGTCTGTGGCAATAAACATCTTTCTATGATGATAATGATGTTCTCTGTTACTTGTCCAATATTAAGACTCACTTCCTTCTTTTCTTAGGATAATGCTGATACTGATGATGATTCTAACTTACAGTATCTGTAAGCCAAGTGTTCTGCTCCATGTCGGAATGAGGAAGCAGTCATTATTTACAAAGACAGAAGTATTGATAACTGAACTAAAGGTTCTAGGGGTTTTGCATGTGTTGTGTTAAGAACATGTGCTTAGAACGGCATCAAACTGCATTGATGAGCTCTTTAGTATTCCTCTGTTTCTGCTCTGCTGCCTTACACAAAGTCATGCAAATACAGTGCCTCATAGAAGTATTCACCCTCTGACTTTTATGCATTTGTTTTATTTATTTACATATTTATTTATTTCATTTTTATACCACCCAGTAGGTGAGGCTGTCTTTTTCAATAGGGGGCCAGTTGAAAGGCTGCGGTGACTGTTGCGGGCTGGTGAGGTGCCGTTGGGCTTGCGAGTCCAAAACCATCTCTGAGCGAGCGAGCAAGCCACCGCCTCCCCGCCCGTGTGGCTAGTGCACACACGGGCGGCGAGGGGCAGCGCGGGCTGGATGGATGGTCATGGCGGGCCGGATCCATGCCACGAGCCGTAGTGTGAAGACCCATGACCTAGAGGATATCATAGTATATGGAAGGGGGCAAACAGGGTGTTAGATTGAACGTCCTGATCAATGCAGGGCCCAAATTTAAAGCATCCATAACAGGTGACTGTCCAGCTGCAGCTTGAACGCTTCCATTGTGAGGCAGCCTATGACCTCCCTAGGTAATTAGTTCTATTGTTGCATTGCTCTAATGGTCAGGATGCTTTTCCTGATGTTTGGCTGGAATCTAGCTTCTTGTGACTTGAGCCCATAATTCCATGTCTTTTGGGAAGATCAAGAAGAGATACTGACCCTCCCCTGAATTATGATCTTTCAAGTACATGAAGAATACTATCATATCTTCCCTCGGTCTTTTCAAGGTTAACATGTCCAGTTCTTCCAATCTCTCCTCACAGAGCTTTGTTCCAAGCCTCTGATCATCTGAGCATTTTTCTTGCCTTCCTCTGAACCTTTTCCTGGATTGAACCCTGTGATAACCCTCTTGTTAACCTCTCCCCAGTTTGAGACAGTGCCATTGTTAAGCAGTTTCTGAGTCTGATTTTGTAGCCAACTCTGGCTCTACCTGGTAGTTGTTCTAGCTGCTCTACTTTTAACTAGTTTGCTAATCAGAAAATCATATGGCACATTGTCAAAACCTCTGATAAAGTTAAGATAGATTATGTCCATTGCGTTACCATGGTCCACCAGGGAGGTTGCTCCATGAAAAATGAGAGCAGATTAGGTGGAAAGGACAAAACCATGTGAGCTTCTTAAAATCACTGCATTTTTTTTCAAGGTGCTTGCAGACTCAACTGCTTTATACTCTGCTTCACAATTTTCCCAGAAATTGATGTCAGACTGAGTGGTTCTGACCACTGAAGTATATTACACTTTGGTTGTAACTATTGTCTCATTTCACCTTTGTCAGCCAAGAGTATAAATTGGCGTATTTATTTAGAAAATTTCTAGGCCGCCCCATTCACCGAAGCCTCGGGGCAGCTTACAAAGGCGTATACGCCTTTGTATATTTTTATATATTTGTATACTACTTTGGCAACAAATGGAAGGCCATTTCTCCTTTGCCTTCCAACGCACCCAGGTAAAATACTGCATTGTAGGCCAATGGCCCTTTTTCTGCAGAACTGTTATAACATGGCTTCACGTTTGGCTGTATTCCAATACCATCTTACATATGTTGCAGTCATGAACTACCATGTATCTCTCTTTGCCACAGGTGGGATTCTTTCCTAGTGAATGTGTTGAACTAATTAACGACAAAGTTCCACAGTCTGTGACCAATTCCGTGCCAAAGCCAGGTATGTGCACATGTATTTTAATGAAATGCATATAATGTGGTAGAATGTTTTTAATCCCTGTTTGTCTCATTGTGGTTTCCAGTCGATTTTGCATACCTTGGATACGTTGTTTAATTTATGCTAAGCATCAGCACAAAAGTTATTTCACTGTATAGACCCATGCTGTATAAATATTTTAATTTACCCTTTGATTGTTATATAAATTTTGTAAGGTTTCAGAGTATTCTTAAAACTACTAGTCCTCTTCACAAGTGCTGGTTAGTGTAAGATGTTGCTTCTGCTGTCAGTGTTTTTTGCACATTGCTGTACAGAAAACAGTGATGTCTGAAGTTGATCATTTAAAAATGATGATGGATTTCATAGCTTCTCAGCCCCTTCTCCTTGGCTCCTAATTTTATTTATATTTTTTTCCTATACCATTCTTTAGCAGACACTCTCAGAACAGTTTAATAGTGCTTGGTTTTACAATTAAAGTGCAGATACGAACACGTGCTACATTCCCCCCCTGCCACACATGCTCACAATTTCATCCCATCTTATTGTTTCTGGACGGCGACTTTTTTGTTAGTTTCCGTGAATGACTAGTCTGCCTTCTAGTATGAAAATATTTCCAGGGTTGTTTATTGAAATCAGGGCAAGAAAAACAATGGAATCAATCATTCATCTAGCAAATACAAACTTGAATGCACACAGCAGCAGTTAAAACAATTAAACCACAGATGAAAGAACAGGAAGATCAATAACCATGGAGAAATAAATGGTCCTTGTCTGATATTGAATAGAGATTGGAGTCTGTGCCAAGTGAGCTTCGCTGGGGGAAACTTTCATAAATAGGATGGCATATCTGAGGAACTTTGCTTTCATTTCCTCCCTGCCTCATCCCAGACACATTTCAGTGTAGATCATGCTTCACTACCCATGCTTCAAACTGTATAGAGCTTCTAAGTGACAATACTTTGAGCTGTACCTGGAAATTGACTAATGCAGTTGTTTAACCACTGGTGCACTCGAGTCCTAATAACCTGTCCCGGTTCTGAACCAAGGGTCAAGCTACATGTAAAATATGAAAAATTTATACCATCTGAAAAGAAACCAGTGTATAGGCCAGATTACATGTGATCATCTAGTTTTCCCTTGTGTACATGAACTTTAAACTAGAAATGGCTGACATGGAGTGTGGTGAATGAATCTGGATTGAGTCCTTGTTTTGCTGCAGCCCTAGTCCTGATCTCATGTAATTTCCATGGGGAGAAAGGTTCTCCTGTGGGGTATACCCTCTGTCCTGGCTATTTCTGAAAGAAAAAAACTCATCCCATGTAATCATTGTCAAGGGCACACCACATGACCAACCACATTTAATTTGGCTCCTCCGGCCGTACTGTTGAATAATCTCAAAGTCGGTCCCCCAAATACAAAGTAGAGGTTTGGGCTTTAATTACTTGCACTGACTCCACTCCCACTGCAGGATAAGCCATTTTTGAAATAGGAGAAGTTTCCAAAGCATTTTATTAGATATATATTCCAGGCAGTCCTTAGACTTAGAGCAACGGTGACATTATATCATCATATATAAATCTGGTTTGGTAATCACTGTATTAGGCATTATTACTAATTCAGTTTCTGTCAAACACAGCCAGCTCCCATTTTGCTTGAAACTGCCTAAAAGCTTGATTGATTTTTAAGTTGTCTAGGAAGAAATGAAAAAAAAAAAAAAATAAAACCCACCCAAAAAACCATAAATGCAAAGCTTTTCTTTCAAGAACCATGGGTTTTAGGTTCAAGCCCACGATCCTTGGCTCTTGTGGCATGATCCATTGAGTGCCCATAGCTCAGCAGAAAGACTAATTCCATACTTCTGTAACCATGCAAGAAAAAGCTTGGTGCTTCTAGAATTGGCAATTGGGAAGCAATAACAAGGCAGTATTCTGAGCTACTCTTGAACTGTGAAGCTGATCATTCTGCTTACTGTCCTTCCCACCATCCAATTGTAAGGACAAGGCTTAGGGTATAGATTCCTTTACAGGAAAAGAACATGATTTAGTAGGCACATGGAGGAGAAAGGAGGGATGCCATTTTCTCTGACTCTGGCTACTATATCTAAAGTACAGCAATTCTTACTCTAGAGGGCCCTTGACCTCCAGGGACATCACGCTGTCCTTGTGGAGAAGAAAGGGACTGCAGTAGGAAGGGAGCTGTGCTTGCATAGCCCTCAGATCCCAGGTGCTGTTGTTTTTATAGGGAGGGGATCTTTGCACTTCTGGTAAATAACCATAGTCATAACTACCACCATAACCATATTAATAACCATAACCACAAACACAGCCATATTCATATTCCTATCCATAATCATAATCATTTTGATAGTAATTGTTTATTCCAGGAAGGAAAGCATCTGAAAAGAAATACTGCAGAAGTATTTCTACACACCCTCCACATGCAAAAGCAGCAGAGCAACTTCAGTTAATCCTACGACTGAGTATGCTGAATATGCTCCTTATGATTAGAAGTGTTTATAATCATATAGTTCTAACTTTATATCAAATAGTTCTAAAATGACAAAGAAAATAAAAACCTTTATTCGGCTCCTTGTGTAAACAATGCATGCTCCTTTTTGGTGTAATTCAATTTCTTGTGTTTCAAGAAGGTTTGTTCATCTTTTGGCCAGTAGTGTGAAGGTTAATAAAGAAGCAGGAGGTCCTCTCCTCCTCCGCTTGTCTGTTCTGTTATGTTGGGTATCATCTTTTTTGTGTCTTCCGTTTTCTGCCAGTATTTTGATTATTAGCCATAGTACTAAAGGTTTTTCAAAGAGCATATAATTAACTTAGTGTGAATGTCCTGCATGTGTCATTGTTAACTTGAAGCATGGTGTTCATCTCATTCTATATCTGCATATCAGTTCCTGCCTGCAGAGGGTTTGTTTGATTGATTGATTGTTATGGGGAAGGAAGTTGGAAGATGCTAAGAACAGCTTGTGCACTTTGGTGTTTCTAGCCTAGAAAAACAGAAAATTTTCATTTTGTTTCAAAACTCTTAACTTGAGTTTATTCCATGCAGAAATACTAGTTGAATGAAGTGCTGATTATTTATATTATGAATATACTAATTCATGTTGCAAGACCTAGTAAAATCTTAACATAGTGGCCTGCTAAAGTAGGTTTCTGTTCTTATTATATTTTTTGTTAAATATTTTTGTTGTGCCTAACAATATCGTATTACATGTATACAATCAAAATTTGGTTTATCCAAGTTTAATTAGAGGATGTCCATGAGAATTTGGCAGTCTTGCTAATCATTAGTTGGACTCATTGCTTCATCTCTGGCACCTGTAAAGCAAACCTTACAAATGTTGAAAGCATTGAAAAAGTTTGATCTTGTGTGCGGAAACTGTTGTACATGATGACCAGGGAGCTGATATCTGCTGCAATTTCAGGCAGCTATCGTGAGCCAGATGTTTTGATTCACCTCACTGAAGTTTTGTAGTGGAAATGCTTGTGTATGGGTTCGTGTAGCCTGTAGAGTAGAATCTGTGGACCTCCTGATACTGGACACAAAATCCAGTCAGCCCCAGCAAACATAGGCAATGGTCAGGAATGATGGAAGCTAGAATCCATAAACGTCTGGATAGCCACAGGTTCCCCATTGGACTAGAACTAACAGGTAATTCTCTTCCTAGAATACTGTTATCTCCTGTCACCAAGTAACTCTGCACTCTTGTTTACATTCCCAAATGGCAGTAAACAAACAAAAGCCTTCTTTCGCACAGCAGTCAGAAAACAGGGTGGGAGCTTGCCCACCAACTGAACTTGGTGGGCAAAAATGGTTCTTGGTGGAGAAGAACAAACATGGTGGTCTGTCCTGCAGGACACTTTGTGTTTTCAGCTTCTAATGAGTCCATTAATATGAAAGGCATCTGTCATTTATGAGATTATTTTACCCTCTCCCCATATATAGCTTTGGTTTTAAATAGTGCATCTATCAAATTCTTTGGTCTTTTTTCCCTTTTTCAACCATTATGAGTAGTACTCTGACTTAGCTGGGAGGTTGACCTGGTTGTACAAGTATAAGGCCTTAAAAGGAAAGTGGCATAACAAGATCTAAAAAAATAGGAAGTTATTTCTGGTTTAGAAATGGTTACTATCATTCTTCTGGGGTAAAATGTCTAATTGGTTTTGCACATTTGACTTGCATTTTATTAAAAAATATACAATTGGCTTTTTATTGCATCCTTCAAAGCTGTTAACACAACTGCGATATGGCATCCTGGGAACCTATTAGAAACACATCAATAGCTGATCACAATCAGCAAAGCAGAAGATGCAAAAACAAGGAATGCATCTCCACACAAATTAAATAGTCCACAGGCATGCTTGAAGAAGCTTTCACAGGAGATAGAATTCAAACTTATGGAGCCTTACAAGAAAATCCACACAGAGAGAATCTCTAATCTCAGTAAGATGATTGATATGACTATCCAGAAAGTGTGACACCACTGCCTCTCACTCAGTTAGTGTAATCCAAATTCAGTTTAAGAGGGTTCTCACTAGAGCTTGGCTCTAGTGTACAGCGTTTCCCCCACCATCTTCTAAGAAAAACACCCTTACTTCTGGGGAGAGACTTATAGAGGGTTCCCATCACTGCAGAAGTTTGGCTTATGCTTGGTGCATGGGAGTCTTCTCCTGCTGGGAAATACTGAGTTTGTAGTCAGGCTGTGTGATTTCTGGCAGGAAAAGATGTTCTGCATATCACTTGTGCTGACCTTAGTGCTTTGCTGCCCAATCCCATTCTCCAAGGGGTAGCAAGGAAGGAGAAATGGAAGCTACATTGGAATGTTCAGCTGTTCTTGTTGAACTCTCATAACTGCCTGAAGCTTTCTGAAAGATTAAATGGAACACTTGAAACTCCAGTCTATGTTTAGGGCAGGTTGAGGAGCAATCTCCATGTATCACTGTTGTGACCACCTGGTGTATTAGGAGTAGAGCTACTGTATCTTAGTGAATCTA